AGTCGGCACGAGTTCCCATTTGAGTGCAATGAGATTTTTGAGTTTTTGATAGACTGAGGGCGCTCTGGTAGTGTATACACTCGGCGGCTATAGACAATCTCCTCCTGTGCAATGTAAGTCTCTGAAAACCCGCCCAGAGGGTCAGTTAGAAGTCGGTTCAGGGTTCCGACTCGTCCACGAGGAGTGAGTTGGGGTTTTTTTTTTGTTTGTTTTTTTAAATAATCAGAGGGCGCGAAGTTCAGCATCAAAGCATAAAGGTCAATAAATGTTGGATTAATGAGTAATAGACTAGAAAGACTATCCGGATACATCAGTTCCACACTGTTTCACGTGCTGGAGGTCCAAGAGAAGACCCTGGACTTTTAGATTTTATTCTTTAACGATTGCACTGTAGATGGGCGGGAAGTACTCACTGCCCCGCACCCATTCCCGAGGTGGCCTCGGGGCGCGGGAGCGTCATGGCGTCTGGCGGACTCTTCCCGCCTCCGTTTGCGCTGCGTTGGAGACTCCTGCCCCGCCCACAGTGACAGCGACTGCGCAGGCGCGGCTCGCAGGCGTGGAGCGTCCGAGGCTGCCCAGCTGCAGGCGCTCAGAAGCGCTGGGGTCTGCGGCCTGCGCTAGACCGACCCCTGCCACACCCCGAGGCCGCACAGCGAGCCCAGTCTCCTGGCGCCCCGGGCTGTGTGGCCATGGAGAACCAGGTGCTGACACCACACGTCTACTGGGCTCAACGACACCGCGAGCTGTATCTACGCGTGGAGCTGAGTGACGTGCAGGTAATGGCCAACCCTGGTGGCTGGACGCGCGGTGAACCGCGGTGCCGGGCGCCCGCCAGATTCCCGTCTCCTTTGTCCGATTGCTCCCGAAACTGTCTGCAGTGTGCCAGAGGGATCTGGAGCACTGTGCACTCGGGCAACCAGATTCCCGGCTGACCCTCCTGGAGGGACACAGGCAGGTCCCTGGCTGGGGCTACAACCTCCTGAGGGCTGCAGGCATCTTCAGGTCCCAGGGAACCCCGAGTGCACCCGTATGGATGCCTGGGACCTCTTTGTTTGCCATTTTCGGCCTGGTGGTGTCTTGCCCTGGAGGCCTGGCCCGTCGGGGTTCTAGTTGGCCGCTGCCCTTCAAGTTCTGGGATGATGATCTGGGCTGTACAGTGACAGTGGCTTGTGGGGCTGTGGCTTGCCCTCTAGCACTAACTTGAAAGGTCCAGCCAGGCCTCCTTGGACATTCAGAAGGCCAACTGCCCCCCCCCCCACACCCACCTTCCCCTGTTTAGTGGTTGAAATAAATTCCATTCATTTTAAAATTCAGGAGACCTTGAGGAAGTGAATCCCTACTTTGAAGGCAATAAATCCCAGATATGCATAGTGGCATAGAGAATTCTTTTGAATTCACTTTGGCTCCTCTTTGTGAAGGAGTTGAGAACTTCTCAGAAATAGAGTCCCCTGATTTGTGTGCCCATCCTCCCACTCCTTTCTCTGAACCATCCAGAATGCCCGTCATTGAAGAACTGGAGTTTTCAACCCCTCTACTGTCATCCTTACTCCAGCTTCTTGACTTCTGTAGCACCTTGTAACCTTATTTACTCCTCTTAATTCTTCCTGCCCATGAGTCATACATTTGTTTCGATCTGTCACCCCATCTGGCTGATTGTCCTGAAAAGTATTGACTTGAATTTGTTGAATTTAATCTTTCCTTCTGCAAAATAACCCGCTTTCTCATTGGAATAATAATACAACAATACTGCTAGCATCTGACAACAGTATTAGAGTAAAAGCTCGGGTCTAAGTTTCTTTCCAACTTGTTAATATCATCTAGCGCTGCCCTTTCCCCCTTTCTCAGTTGACTAATTTATGCATAGTGTGCTCAATCTGGAGCAATTAATTTCTTTGATAAAAAAAAAAGTATGGAAGTACTACTCTTATCTGGCCTTGGCAGCTGTCTGACTCTCCTGCTTTCTATTGTGTGCCCCAAAGTTAAAAATGACAAAAGCTATAGGTGTGAGTTTTCTAGTCCTGAGTTAATTTTAGGGCTATCAGCTCGGTACTTCTCCCTTTTTTTTTTAAATTATTTTTTTATTTTAATAATTTTAATGAACATTTACAGAGATTTTGAATTTCCATTCATTCCTTGTTGCATTTTTCTTCTTGACTACTTCTCCTTTCTTGAGATACAATCTACACACCTCTGGTCTTTGGACAATAGTTGATGAGAAACCACTGCTTATGTGTGAGAAGGAGTGGTAGATAAGAAGAACTTCAACAGTGGCATTATCTATGCTTGAGGTGGGCCTAGCAAAGAGATTATTTTAGGTGTAGGGAGCTTGGGGTAGATTCACTTTCAGAATAGAATTTGCTGTCAAGATAAGCATAACAGACAGGTTTGTCTCAAGAATTAGAGTTCTTAACACATGCTTGTTGGTTTGAATTGTCTGTGGACAAAATATGTGTGGGAGACATTTGAAAGATACTGTTCTTGACTTTTCCTAACAAGATCTGGGAACGAGTGGTAACCAAAGAGATGAAATTGAATTCTTAGTCTTCCACTTAGTAACTGGTAACCATAGATGATTCACTTAACATTTGTGACCCTCTGTTCATCTAAAGAGATGTGACTAATAACACCCAATTTCACAGGGCTGTTTTGAGGTTTGAATTGAATAATAGATTTGAATGTATTTTATAAATTCTAGTGTTTAAAGGTTAATAAGGATAGATGTGGAGTAATGGAAAAGAATAAAATATATTAATAGACTTATCAGTGTGTGAAAACTAACTATAGAGGTGACCTTACCAGAGGAAAGGATGAAACACTTAGGAAATTGTGTTGAGACAGTTGATAATACAAATGTAAAAAATAGAAAATAAGCTCCCACCTTATTGCCATAGAGAACAAGTTTATTCTAGCTAGGTTAACAAATAGCTAAAAGCAGAACTACACCCCTAAAAGAAAATAGAAGAGACTGTATTAATGATAATGAGATAGAGAAGACTGTTTTAAACAAGATGAAAAAACACAAGCCCTAGGAAAAAAGAGTGAGAAATTTACAGTTAAGGTTAGAGAAGATACTGGCAGCACATTTAGCTGAAAATTGGTTAGTATGTTGCATATATAAAGGATGCCTACAAATCAGTAATATATCACCTATAAATCCATAGGAAAAGGACATATTGCCCAACAGAAAAAAGGGTAGAGAGTAGAAACAGTTCACTGTAAAAGAAAGCAGGAATGGACAATAAACCTAAAAAGATTTGAAACTTAAATGAAAATGATGGGGTAGTCTTTCTGCCTTGTGAACTGGGAAAAATGAAGAAATCAGACATTACCAACTACTGACAAATTTTATATGCAGTTGGTTGTTGTTGTGTGCTGTTGAGTCAGAACCAACCCATAGCAGACCCTCCCGTGGATTTTTAGAGGCAATAAATCACAGGGGAGGAGGATTGACCATCTTTCTCTTGGAGCAGCTGGAGGATTTGAACCATTTGCTTTTGTAATTGCAGCACAGCTTCTTACTACAAAGGTACCAGAGCTCCCTATGCAGTTGGTAGGAGTGTAAATTGGTACAGGTAACTTGGAGAACAATTTGACCTTATATAGGTGGCACAAGGGTTAAGTGCTCAATTAGCAGAGGAAAAGTTGTTGGTTTGAACCTGTGGAGTTTATTTTTCAATATGGCTTTACTAGCCATCCAAATCAGACCTAATCACATGGATGGGCGGGAATATGCTAATGAGGGGAATTAGCCTATTCACAGTGTGTTTGGCTGTCTACCTTTCCACGAGGGGATTGGCCATTCTCAACCTTCTACAAGGGGATTGACTAGCCTCTGTTGACTTGAGCAAGCCCTGTCTCTCCCTGCCAGTGAAGAGACCTCCTGCTGCCACTAGTGAAGAAACTTCACCACCAGGAAAAGAGGAGCCATGGCTGAAATGGAGACCTGATGTGAGATGAGACCCGGAGGTGGAGGGTGACGGTGGGGGTATAATGAACCAATATTGGCAGGACAGAGAACTTTATTGGACAGTTGGAGGGGAAGCCAACATTGGCAGGACTGAGAATTTGGGAATCACTGACATGAAGGCTCAAGGCTGAGGTGCCTGTGTGCACATTTTGGGATTGTATTCTGCTAGCAATCTGGATTATAACCTTTTGACTTTCCCAACATGGCTCTTTGTGGTCTGTGAGCTATTACATTGGATTTTGAACCCAGCAAAGCACTAATATTGGTATTGAGAGGAGTAGAAAGAAGTGTGGGAGTGTGTGGGACATGTCTAATCTCCTGGCAATTGGTTTTGTATTATTGATGCTGTTGATGGGGACAATTTCCTTTTGTGAAGTTGGTAAAGATTGGGTACAGCTGTCCCCATATGGCCTTTGCTCTTTTTATGAACCTACCCCAGGGTATCTTGGAAAACAGGCCCAGTGATCTGCTTCGGAAAGGTCAAAGCTTAAAAACCCTATAGTGTGGTTCTACTCTGCACACATGGGGTCATGTTGTTGTTGTTGATTACCTTCGAGTGGAGCATGACTCATAGCGACCCTGTGAACAAAAGTCTTGAAGCCCCTCTACAACTATTGAAATTTATCATTTATCAAAGTTCATAGAGTTTCCAGAGGCGTGTTATATAGGAAGTGGATGCCACTACATCAGAATTGACTGGAAGGCAACTAACAAGAACCAAGTCAAGCTGAAGCCAAGTATATCCTTATGATTTAGAAGTTTTGAGGCATAGAAAACCTTCTTAACACATGTGCATAAGGGAACAAGGTGTTCATTGCAGAGGGGGGAAAAAGGGAAAACAGCCTAACTTGGTCTTTCATCTGGAGAATTAAAATGATGGTATATTTACCCTGTGGGTGATTGGGGGTGGGGATGTCAAACAGCAGAGGTTCGTTATAGATTGGGTGCTGTCAGGGAGTGGAGACAATTCTATTGGCTGGTTTTTTTTTTTTTTTTTTTTTTTTTTCTATTGGCTGTTTTGTAGGTGGCTGCACTTAGAACTGCATGGTCTTCTGTTTAAGGACTTTGTGGTGGTGGTGTGTTGCTAACTAAAAGGTCAGCAGTTTAAATCCACCAGCCAATCCTTGGGAAAAAAAGATAGTCTCTTCCTGTAAAGATTTACAGCATCAAGGAACTCTGGTAGCTTAGTGGTAAGGAACTGTGATGCCAACACAAAGGTATAAGGTTCAAATCCAACAGCTGCTCCACAGGAGAAAGCTTGGCAGTCAACACCAGTGCGATTTATTGTTTCTGAAAACCTCCTGGAGAATCAGCTCTGCATCATTTCTGATTCTACGGCACACAACAACGTTAAGAAAACAATAAAATGATATTAGAGGGTCACTGTGAGATGGAACTGCCTCCATGCCATTAGGTTTGTGTTTTTGTTTTGTTTCATTTTATCATGGTTTCAGAGTAACCTTGTCTGAGATTGTTTATTTTCATCAAGAGAACAAAATGACCTGGTTATGTGTGCCAGAGAGGCTTGTAATAACATTGAGGCCTAGCTGTGGGCGGAAGGTCAGTTTCAGAGGTCAGGAGGTATAGATTAACTTTTCTGTAACTTTAAACTTTTTCCAAAATAAAAAGTTGAGGTAATAAGAGCCCCATACTGTTTTGGAGGTCCCCAAGAAGCACCCACGTGGTCAATGATTTGCTGGAAGGATTCACAGCTAAGTTTTGCTACAATGAAAGGATTGACAGCTGAATTAGCAAAGGAAACAGGTATGTGTAGAATCTGCAGAAAGCCATGCACAGGCTTCTTTCTAT